AAGGCTCAATGAATTCCCATTTTACATCTAACATCTTTGAGTATGAGAGCATGTCAGCTCAGGTATAGTCAATAAATTTTATGTCAGAATTAACTTCTGACCTTCTTTATCTGTTTATGGTTTTATATGTTTAAACCTTAACGTTCTAATCTTATTTTTAACTTGCTTCGGTTTCCCTAAATTTTTGTATTGTAAATTCCCACTGAAAATGTCTTTTTGTATTCAGAGAATAAACATCTTTTAATATGAGAAATTGTGGATGTGAAGCACACTGGCTCAGTAGGAAGTCAGCTTCCCATGATGAGAGAAGGCCTCTCATAGGAAAGGCTGAAGGACTCTGGTTGACAGTGTCAAGAAGTAAAATGAAGCTGTAGATTTTTAAAAAACTGCTAATTTTACATAGTGAACCAGACTCTAAGACATCGTTTTATGCTGTTTGCATTGTTTTGTACTCAGGTGGTTGGAAGAATATGAAAGGGTTTAGGGAGGGTAGTAATGATTTTTTCTAAGCAATAGATAGTTGAAACATATGATTATGGTCATTGTGGCTTTAATCTAAATGATAGCCTGCTGTTGGGCCTTCGTGTTATGACATAATTGCGGGTGCTAATCCCTTCGAGCTTTGAACTCATCATAGTGCGGGCTTTCAGATACGGAAGTCAGATATACTGTTTTCTGTTTATAGCAGTCATATTTCTCCTTGATAGAGTTCTGAAAGCCAGAGTCAATGCTTTTATGGTGTTTGTATTACCTAATTTCAGCTAGGTTCAGCCATTATGCAGAAGAGAAATAATCCTATTCTGTACTAGAGGCCCGGTGCATGAAATTCGACTGATGGCCGTCAGTCGGACATCCTTACTGCTGCCACGGAGGTGGGAGAGGGTCCTGCCACCGCCGCTGCACTTGCCCAGCTGTGAGCCCGGCTCAGGGCTTCTGGCTGAGCGGCACTCCCCCTGTGAGAGCGCACTGACCACCAGGGGGCAGCTCCTGCATTGAGTGTCTTCCCCCTGGTGGTCAGTGTGTGTCATAGCGACCTGTCATTCTGCCGTTTGGTCGATTTGCATATTAGCCTTTTATTATATAGGATTATTGTACAAACTAAAACTAAAACCAGTGGGAGGAAACTATTGAAAAGAATTCCTAGTGAGTAGACTTGTTTAAATGTACAACAGATTGAGAAGTAAGCTTCCATTATTAGAGAATTACAGATAAAAGAAGAAATTCCTTCATTGATCAGATTTATTAAACTAAATAATAATCCTCTTTTAACTTTAAGTTTCACATACTGTATTAAATGATTTTTTAGATTTGCCCATCTTTGCTTATTTTCATTAACACAAATTCTCAAATTATGAATCTTCGTTTTGAATTCTTCTAAATTTAAAATAAATTTGGTTTAATATATGATGGAAACAACTCATTTGATCTACTTCAAGACTCCTGCTTGGGACTTTTTATTAGAAAAGGACTTTTAACTTTGACTCTGCTAGATACAAATCCAGGAAGCATAATTATTGTAGTTTAGCAACTTACAGTTCAAGGTAGCTTCTCCAGATACATAAATCAGAACATGAGTGTGTGAGATATAAATGTACATACGTCAGTTTTCTTCTTGTGAGAATTGTGTTGTAAAGTTGCTCTTTTCTAAATAATGGTTTCTGTTGTTTTATGTTTTTGAAATGGGTGAAATGTGTTGTTTCATGCCTATTTCTTTTCTCTTTGCGTCTTTCACAGTGCCATGGAAAGCCATTCCCTCCTCAACCCCAACCTACAGAAAGGTGAAGGCGTCCTGTCCAGCTTCCGCACCACATGGCAGGAGTTTGTAGAGGATCTGGGCTTCTGGAGGGTTTTGCTCTTGATCTTTGTCATTGCTCTGCTGTCTCTTGGTATTGCCTACTATGTGAGTGGGGTGCTGCCCTTCGTGGAAAACCAGCCAGAACTGGTGCATTAAGGAGCTCGTGGAAGACAGGGCACACGCCTGCTCCTGGCGTCAGTGTTTCTCAGTTTCTCAAAGTTGTTCTCTTAGTGCAAGGCAGTGAGTCTGTACATTATTTTCTTTTTGCATTTTTACATATTGTAATCCTTTTAGAATGACATGTTCATTTGAACTAACTACATACTGTAGTCAGTATACTGCATCCTAAAGCTACCTGTGACTCAACCTGACTTCTTAGGAACACACAGCCTTGTGTGATAAAAACATGGAAATGACTAAAGAAAGAAAGATAAGGGAAGTCCTTGCTGTGGAAACCTAACTCTAATATAGGACCAACTGAAGTGACGTGTTCAAAAGAAAAAAGGTTTCCTTGCATGGTTAGTTTTGGTTGGTGGTTTTAGTTAGTGTTTTTTTGGTTTTGGTTTATTTTTCTCTCTTTATTTATAGTCTTGGAATAGAGGAGAGAATGAAATATTCAGCTTAAAACTTGAAGTGCTTTTTTCAAATCCCACATAGTAAATCAGTATTGTTGAACCTGTTTGGTTTATTTTAGTACTTTCAAGTTTAGTCACAAACCAAATAGAACTTTTGAAAGTGAGCTATATTTTCTTCAAAAATTATTGATTTGATCTTATATTTATTTGTTTTTAGGATAAATTTGTGTTTTTGTATGTTTGTTTATTTGTTTTTGTAAACTGCTTTGCTTGTTGTAATATGTGTGACAAGTAAACTTGTTTACTTTTCAATTTCCCCTAGAGTTTATTTCAAGGATAGTCTGTTCATCAAAAATATAGTCAGAAAACTTTTTCTGTTCAGTAGTTAGCAGGGGAAAATAACTGATATTTAATGGTCACTGTAATTTTGTAGTGCTATTATGATAGTGGAAAATTCAGTTCCATAAGCTTGCCACGTTGTCACAATTGTATTGTAGTTCATATTTATTTCATTTTATGTGCAGCCCTTGTAGAGGCCCTGTAGGATTGTCATAACAATTTTCAGCCATGTCAGTAATTCTCCGGAGGCAAGAACGGATAGAGTATGTCTGAGTTAACAGCTCAACACGATTGTACTGGGTGTCATAAATGTTTTATGAATGGTAATATTATGTAAATTGAAATTTGGCTCCTAAACTATGATTGAAGGCCCCTTTTGTTAATGATTCTGTTATGTATAAAAATGTTCTTGGGCTATTAAAAAAGAATATGAAGACTTGATAATTGTTCATTGGGTATAGTCAGAAAACTATAATGAAAGAACTAATGGTTCTACTTTTTAGAACAAAGACTTCTAAGCTACTGCTAATTGAATTGCTGCTAGAATTCGAACTTTTAGTTTAGAATAGAATTAGTATTTCTGTGATTCTTGTTGCTTCTTGTTATTAGCTTTTTTGTATTTACATATCTAAGATTGAGGAGGCTTTATCCTCCCTTTCTTGTGTCTCTTTCCTCTCTTAAAGAGCTGTTTTAAAATTCCTGATTTATCTCGCTGCTTCAGAGTCTTGCTTTTAGGTTAGATAACAAAATAAACCTTACTTGATGTAAATACAATAAAAACTGGATTTTAGAACAGAGAACACTAGAACACTAGACATCAAAGTATATTCATAATGAAAGCTGTGGAACTAGCTTTACATTTGTTTGTAAATCTAAACAGATATGCAAATTGGCTAAATATATATGTACATATGTTGCACTTTTATGTTTCCTTTTAAGTACTGATTTCTTTGTATTTTATTCTCTGCATTCAGAATTTAGTGACACTACCAATAAATGTAAATATAATCTCTTAATCACAATCCAATTTTTAGTGTATCATAGTTTTTCTTTTAATTTAAGGTGTGCTTTTTTGTTTGTTTTGTTTTAAGATTTGTTTTTTAAAAAATGGGTTGTAATTTGTTTAGAAAACAAAGAGTTTTTTTCAGATGTGGTTTAATAGTTATATCAAATTTATATGTTTGCCTTATAATTGCTCTGAAACTAATTTGGGTGAATTGCTTGTGGATTTAAAGTGCTAATAACTTTGGTGCTTAACTACCTCCCAGTTATACAAGTCACATTACATGCCTCATTTCATTTCATCCTTATGTTCCCCCAGCCCCACTGCATCTCCCCTTTTTATAAGATGAGGGGACTGACACAGGGAGGGATAAGTAGCTTGTCCAAGGTCAAAGCTAGGGCCTATAGAGAAACAGGTTTTCCAGATTGAGGCTCTATCCCCAACGGTAAGTTTTCTTTTTCTTAGCTCCGCTGTCTGTCACGAATCTGGCGGTGGAGCCGTCCAGAACCTCGCCTGCTGCCGTCTCAGCAGCATGTTACTAAAATTTCCACTCCTGTTCCTAAATACCTACCTTTTCCTCTTTCTATAATGTGCCATTTCCCCACATCCTCCCAATATTACTAATCTTTAAAATCCAAGCTCAAACCCCTGGCATGATCAGAAAATCTCCCATAGTTAACCCTATCTGACTGCCCACTCCTGTCCCATTTCCTTATTGTTTACCATAATCATAAGCAGGTATTCTGTTTTTCATTTGTGTCTTTAATTGTAAGTTCACGAGAGCAGGATCTTGGTCAAGTTTTACTACCCTGTCTGCCCACAGTGCCTCCTATAGAACTCTTCGTACACAAGTACTAATAGCATTACGTTGTCACCTGTAGCTACATATTTTCTTTTCAGGTTAAGTAGCTTTTATCGTTCCCATGTTTCCTCTGACCTGCTGCAGGTGGGAACTGTGCTAGTCCTCCTCCCACAGGGTGCCTGCCACTTGTCCTGTGAAGCCCCTTTACCTGAGAGCATGAGGCTGTGGGCCCGCATACTGCTTTCTCCACTGCTTGGCATGGACATCCCGGAGCAGTGCCCCCTGGTGGTGGTGTTTTAACCAGGCCTCGGTCTTTGCCTTGTGAAACCATGTATGTATCAAAGTGCCTTCAGCTGCAAGAAACCCAAATCCAAATTCAAAGTGGCTCACACTATAGGAAGTGTACTGCTTTGTATAACTAGAAGTCCAGAGGTTGTCACCCCAAGGTGACGTAAAGCAAATTTATTTATTTATTTATTTATTTTGGGCCGAATTTTATGGCTTTATTAACACAAATACAATGTGCACACCACCTGTCTATTCCTTTTCTTCGCTGCGCAGCCTGGCATTGGGATCGGTGACTCTGAGGGCCAGCGGGACTGCTCTTCCCACAATGGCTCTGTGGTTCTTTGAGGAGACGCTGTGAGCCATCTCAGCACAGTAAGACTTGTTGCGCATCAGCAGCACTTCAAGCTCCTTGACCTTAGGGACCAGACGCTTCCGAAAGCCACTGGGCAGCATGTACTTTGTTTTCTTGTTGCTCCCATAGCCAATGTTGGGCATCAGGATCTGGCCCTTGAATCTTCTCCGCACCCTGTTGTCAATGCCTCTGGGTTTCTGCCAGTTCCGCTTAATTTTGACATATGGGCCTGACTGATGCGGATGGACTTCTTGGTCCTCTTTTCGACAATCTTGGGTTTCACGAGGGGTCTCAGGGCAGCCATGGTGCCGATTAGGAGATGGCTGCCACCTCCGTAGGCAGCGCCGAGGAAGAGGACATAATGCACATTTAGCTCAGTTCCCCTGTGCTTTTGGCTCTTCCCTCCTGTTTGTTGGCTTCATCCTTCAGCTGGTTTTGAGATGAGTCCAGGATTTTCAGGCCTCACTGCCATTTGTAACCCTGGAGAGAAGAAGAAAGAGACCATCTTTTCTGTGGTTCTCTCCCAGGAAACTTTCCTTCGAAGCCCCCACATTTCTAGCGGTCAGGAGCCGCAAGAGGCTGTTGTATGGGACAGGACAGCCCAGATATATGACATTTTCATTTCTGCAGAAGGTGCTTTTGGACAGCAGTTCTAAAATACTTACCTTGGGCTTTGGGCTCAAGTCAGGTCAGGTCAGTATGGAGCTAGATACTGAACTGTATTACAGCAGTGCCTGCCCCAATTACTTCTACTGAGTTCTTTATTAATAGGCAGTAAACATGTGCTGGCGGGTGTCGCTCAGTGGTTATATCATTGACCTGCACACCAGAGGGTTGTGGGTTCATTTCCTGGTCAAGGGCATGTTCCTGGGTTGCAGGTTCAATCCCTGACCCAAGTCTGGGTGCATGCAGGAGGCAACCAATCAATGTGTCTCTCTCACATTGATGTTTCTCTCCCTCCCTCCCTCCCTTCCCACTCCCTTCCATTCTCTCTAGAAATCAATGGAAAAATATCCTCACTCCTCATGTGAGGATAAAAATAAAATAAGTGGCAACACTGTACAGTGCTTAACTCATTCAATCTTTGCAAATTGCTATTGTTATCCACACCTCACAGGGGAACTAAGGAACCGGAGGTGGTTGGAATGACATGCCCAAGGTCACATAGCTGTAAATGGCAGAGCTGGGATTTGAACTCGGGCAGTACAAGAACGGAAGGCTCTTCCTCTCCCCATCATGCTATGATGCCTGCCTCTGCTTAGCTGTGATGCAGTTGGCTTGAAGTAAGGACTAGCACTCTGTACCTAACCACTGCATCTATTGGAAGGAAAGTTCCTGGGGCTGCTGCTGACACAGTTATCCTTTATGAAGACCCCTGAGGAGGAACTTTTGCTCCTTGCAACCACAAACTGCATTTCTGCTGAACTTTGCTTTCATCTTATGTGCTGGATGAATTATGTCATTGACCGGGTAGGATTCCTCTTTCACATGCGGTGGTGAAAAGCTTCATGCCAAATTTGGGTTCCACCAGAAGCAGCGGTAGTATAGGTCATCATGGTGGTTTATGAGAACCTCACTCCTGGTTTTCTAAATGTTCACTTTCATTTATGCTTATAGGTCATCATGGTGGTTTATGAGAACCTCACTCCTCGTTTATTTTATATCGTCATCTTTCGTTTTGTTTTCTTATTCTAAATGTTCACTTTCATTTATGCCGTTCTGTATTTCTTCAGCCCCCTTAGATTAGACAGTTATTCTTATTAGTACGAGTAGCTGGGATGACCACAACGATACCTATCAAGTTCTGGACGCTGGCAGGAGGAAATACATTGACCTTTTGCAATTGGAAATAGAACCTTATTGCCTTCCATTCGAAATGCAATTATGGTTTCTGGCATACCTGCCATTGTCAGTTTACCTTATTTATGTCTCTCTTTGTTCCAGACAGGATTAAGTTCAGCTGAATCAGCAGGTATTACTCTAAACTCTGGAAATCAAATGTCTTGGTTTTTTCTGACATTCTGATGAGTCACTTGAGTGAAGCCTGATCTATGAACATAAACAAGTTCCTATAATAACAGAATTGTGGAGATGGAGGGGCATTAGAACTTACCTAGGGAGGGGGAAAGGCGGCCTCACAATTAAGAAAAGGGCAGAACAGCTATGTGAACCCAGACATGGTGTGTCACCTCACCTCTGCTGCACTGCCCACTGCTCACAGGTCTCCCCGCCCACCCAGGGGTTATGCTAAATGTCATTTTAAAGTACAAGTGGCTTGTGTTAGAGACATGAAAATATACTTTCTTGCCATTGCGTTCTGTGTACTTTAATGGTTAACCAAAGCACTGACCTGTTCCTTAAGCTGATACTGTCATAAACCACGGATGCCTCTTTCTAAGTCTAATCTCCATTTGTTTGTGAACAGGAAGATCACTACACACCTATCATCTTCCCTTGATAAACATTAAAAAACTTTTTTTTTTGTTAATCCTCACCCAAGGATATTTCCCCCCCATTGATTTTTAAAGAGAGTGGAAGGGACGGGGAGAAACAGAGAAACATCGATGTGAGAGAGACACATTGATTGGTTTCTCCCGCACATGCCCCACTGGGGCCAGGGATCGAGCCTGCAACCCAGATAAGTGCCCTTGAGCAGAATCAAACCTGTGACCCTTCAGTCCAAGAGCGGACACCCTAACTACTGACCCAAACCGGCTAGGGTGATAAACATTTTAAGTGAAAAATCTTTTCACTTATTGGAAAAAAAAAATCCACATTGAATAACACGCTTCCCCTAGAAAGCACCTGACACTGGGAGTGCTGAGAGGGAGCTGAGCAGAAGGTGCGCGAGTTCCCCTAGCAGGTGTGGTGTGACCACCTCTTCACCGCGCAGTCACTACTCTTTCTTATTAGAACAAGGATTTCTTCAATCCCAGTGTCTGCTGCAGACCTCTAATTCACGTTAGGACCCTAGGGGACGTCTACAGGGCCCTTGGTGAACGTAAGCCCTGGGGTTAGGAAATGCCTGATGCTCGGGTGTGTCAGAGGTGTCTGTGGTGTTCATCGAGTTTTTCAATATTTCCTGGGGGTCCTTTTTCACATCTTGGGAAGCGTTTGTAAAAGGAAATGAGAAATGTGCGAGTATAGGAGAATGACCCACACTCAGGGCGACGCTGTCACTGTATCCGCTTAGGAATCTCTCACTGAGGAGCATTCAATGGGTTGTTCTCCCCCGGTACCCCCTCAATTTTGTTTTGTTTATTATCTTTTCATGTCCAAATTAGTCTAAGGATCAACTTAATAATAAACTCTGACCCAGAGTACTTTCAACTGGAAATATGCAACCGTAAATCTCCTGAGATTTGTTTTTTTAAACGGTAAATGTTTTACTTGCTGCAACCATTTCAAATAAATGTGTACATATATTATTTTATGATTATATTTCAGCAAATTCAAGTTATTTTATTTTACAGTGTCCATTTATGTTCTTTTAAAATTGTATGATATGCCTTCTGCACACATACCGAGTGCTTATGTGTTTTTGTATGTGTCATTAAACCAAATGCCTTCTGGAGGTTCCAGAAGAATCACTAACCTAATTCCCTTGAATCCTCATGCTCTAAGCTGCAAGTACGGAGAAGGGAGGCATTGTAGAGTTAGTTATTTCTTCCTATAATGGGCTATGAGAAGGTTATTTTCTGTCGCAATAAAATTAATATTCCCTTTCTCTGGGGATTAATTTCCAAATTCGAAGACTCTGGGTCAGAGTTGGCTGGACTGTTTCACTGAATTTCAGCCCCTAAGAAACAAAAATAGGGTTTGCAGTAGTTTCTAGGTCACTGGCACAGAAAACTGGCATAATGCTGTAGCTGCCTTTGGATAGTCCTAGTTAGTACAATTCCATCAGCACAGGCTGTTCTTTTGGCCTGTGATTCAAACGTAGGAGAAAATATAATTTGGGGGTCCCCACATTTGCTCTATCGTTTTCAGGTTTGGGTGATTCTTATTTTAGTAAGTCCCGTGACTTCAGGGAGGGAAGACACATGTAATCAGATATAAGTTCTATATTTCACCTCACTGAGCTGTTGACAGTTTTTGTTATTTTCATTTAAATTTCATTTTTGGGTCAGAATACTGAAAAGTGTGCAGACTTGGAGTGAATAGATCCATGCTCTACTTAACGTGGACTGACCGTGGTAAAACGATTTAAGCTTTCAGAACCTCTGTTTTTGTAAAGCAGATATAAGTATCCACCTCATAGACTTATAAGGAATAAAAATAACTTATCTGAGTGCTGTGTGTGTGTGTGTGCCTGGCCCTATAAGGGCTGATACTGTCATTATCCCCGTAAAGAAAACAAGGCTTGAACAGTTAAGTCCGCTTCCTCAGGGCATGGGGTAGACCAGATCTGAGGGCGTGGAGTAGACCAGACCAAGAGCCGGCCCAGTTGTGGGGATGCTGTGGGCAGCCTGAGACACCGTGCCTCTCCCGCTGAGTCACCGCCTCTGAAAGTGCCTGGTACCTTACAGTGGCTCCGTGTAAGTTCTCCCTCTTGTTTCTTGGCAGAATAAATGATGTGATTTATTGACGTACTCTAGCTTTTTATGTGTGAATGGTTTAAACATTATCACACAATTTCTGATTTGCTGAGGAAGCTTTAATAACTGTTTTATGAATTAGAACCCCTGTCCATGCGTCTTCTTTTTTTTTAAAATATATTTTATTGATTTTTTACAGAGGAGGGGAGAGGGATAGAGAGTTAGAAACATCGATGAGAGAGAAACATCGATCAGCTGCCTCTTGCACGGCCCCTACTGGGGATGTGCCCGCAACCAAGGTACATGCCCTTGACCAGAATCGAACCTGGGACCCTTGATTCCGCAGGCTGACACTCTATCCGCTGAGCCATACCGGTTAGGGCTCCATGCGTCTTCTTAGCAGTGGTCTTATAGGGGCCCATAGGACTTCCCAGGCCTCATCTCATCAGCTCTGAGGGCCCCTCCTCAGTAAAAGAACCTCTCAAGCCCAGAGACCCCTCAGTGCCAGGGAGGAGGAAAATGCTCAGGTCCATGACTGTGAGCTGCCCGACCTCACGCCACACTGAGAAGGGGAGGGTGCCTTTCTTAACCAATGAAGCTTTAAAATGTCCAACGCACACCCTGTAAGACTCAAGAGGATGATTTCCATCGAGATCCACGAGGAAAGACCCAGGTGTTGGTGGCCACAGTTACTAAGTTCTGTTAAAGGGGATTCCTCGAATGGAACTCCTCTTGAAGACAACAGAACAAATGAGAATCATGGAAGCTTATATTTTATTTCTAGTCGAGCTTTTCTGTTTAGGAAGCATGACACTTCTCTCTGGTGATTTTTGCATCTGTGATTATGGTGGTGCTGTTAGATCCCCAGAGATAGAGTGACATCATCTTGCCTAATTACAGAATTAAAAAATATATATATATATTTTTTTATTGATTTCAGAGAGGAAGGGAGTCAGAAAGAGAGATAGAAACATCAATGATGAGAATCACTGATTGGCTGCCTTCTGCACACCCTACACTGGGGATCAAGCCTGCAACCCGGGCATGTGGCCCGACTGGGAATCGAACCATGACCTCCTGGTTCATAGGTCGACGTTCAACCACTGAGCATGCTGGCCGGGCCAGATGTGTTTTCATGTCTGCGCTTAGAAATCCACTGTGCTTCCCATGATCTTTAACAGGTATGTGTTCATCATGTGGAATGGGAATACACCGGATCCTCAGTGACCAAACCTCCAGCCAGTCTGCAGTCCTCATTCTGGAAAGTGGCAGCCCCGTCCCCAGCACCAAGGAGCTCTGCACTGTCTTCTGTTCCCTTTGACA